CAATATTCTTTCCGTATGTCCAAAAGTTGACTTCTAAATTAATAGCAAGTATAAAGACATATTTAGAAAGAAAATACATATTTCTATCAGACATAGCATTTCTTCATAAAATTTTAACAAAGAAGAAAATGTGCTTGAAAAAGTTAAAAACAATGTCAGTATCTAAGGCTATAACCAATGGCTAGAAGCTGGTGCAGTAATACACCTCTGTAACCCCAGAACTTGGAAGGATCAGGCAAGAGGACTGCTTAAAATTCTAAGCAAGACCCCTTCTCAAAACCAAAACAAAAGGCCTATCTCAGGGTTAATGTACAAAAATTTTAAGTGTCTGTCCAGTCTTAAAGACAATGCATTTTACAGATCCAAGCCTCTGGATCTCTTATTTGGACACTGGAATTTTTAGGAGCAAAATGTGTCAACTGAATCTATACATTTTGTGAAAACTGTGCCTTGCAAGTAAACTGATCCAGTATATAAATCTCTTCTCTTGTTTTAAAATCAAAAGTGGCAAAAAAAAAAAAAAAAGAGTTTGTGGTCAAGCTTAAAACAATTACTTTGTAAACTTCAGTATAACTTCTGTACAGCAATAACTAATTACAACTGAAAGACTGCAAGAAAATACTACATTAGTACCAAATTACTAAAGAACGGCTCACTGGATACTGACCAAAAAATGAGCTTTTTTGAAGCTGCTGGGTGACAAGTGATGGTATATGTGGAGTCCACTTAAGGAGGGACACTCCTTCACATGAAAAGTAAATAGTGTCACCTATTGTGAGCCAGGAATGGGGAAAGACTGACTGAGCTTGGCACCTGCATCTTACTGAGCTATCCATACAGCCATGGTAAGTAAATACTGCTAATCCACAGGAGGCTAGCAGCTTGCTAACATGGGAATAGCAGCCACACTGGACCAACAGCAGAAACCAGACAGAGCCTGTGCTGGCCTTCACAGACTGTGCAGTTAAATGTGACCCTGTTAATCATACTTCTGATCAGTGATGAAATGGCTAGATAGATCAGGCCAGGCACAAGAAACTGTCCAAAACACAACCTTCCTCGAATCCCAGAACAGTAGATGATGAGTAAGCTACAGTTTCAATCCCCAGGGGTGTCTCTATACACTGAGGCACGCTTCACCACTGTCTGCTCTCTAGTTCTAGAAATGCCAATATTGGAGTTTGGGAAACAATGTTCTCAGATGATAGGAAAGTAGTGTACTAGTGAGCTGGAGAAGGAATGGAGAAAGGAAAAAGGAGACCATGGCTAGTGCTGTCTCACCCCCATAAGAAGTGAAATCACTTACGCATTAGGCTGTAAATGTGCTTGTCTGCAACGTGTTCCGTAAACAGCTTTATAAGATCATCTTTTAAGTCTCTGTTAAGCTTTGTTTCTATGTAAAACTTATTCTGAAAAAAAAAATAAGTTTTTATACATCAACAAGGGAAAATAATCATCCCCATGAATGGGAGAACTAATTACAGTTTTAGGGAATAATGTGTAAGTGAATCGATTAAAAAATAACAAAAATATCCAGCAAACAGCAAAACCCAGCCATTCCTAGTCTTGGGTCTTTTTTGCATGAGGTTCAAAGGTTAGAAGATACAAACAATTCTTCAGTTGTTCATCACAAACATCAAAGGACAATGCTGGGAAAGGCACTCCTCTGCATCCAGGCTGATGACAGGCAGTGGAAGCCACTAGGAAGAGTCTCTGTAAACATGCCCTACAGCAATGGTCAGCTACCAAATTCCAGATACCATCTCTCTGCTCAGAGGCAGACACCCTAGTCAGGCTGAATAAAGTTGTTCACTTATATCCAAAACAAGATGAGCTGTATGGTATACAGCAAGGGACAAAACAGAGTACCTGATTCCAACAACCCTGGGAACTGCCTATACTTGAGGTCTCAGGGTCTGTTTCCTTATTTACCCTAGTCACTTTGAATCAAGTTTTCTCTTTCTTATAATCAAAATCAGCCTAACCAGGAAAACACAAACAAAAATCTAAAACCATTAAGCTTGCTCACGTTTAAATGCTAGCTCAATGATAAAGAGTAGAAAACAAAATGCTCCAACTTTTGGTTCTGAACAGTGTTTTCCTTTCTTAAAAAAAAGGAAAAGAAAAAGAAAGGTATAAAAAGTGGCTTTTAATCTCAGGCTCTCTGAAGAGTTAGAGGCCAGCCTGGTCTACAAAGCACAAGTTCCAGGACAGCCAGAGCTGTTACACGAGAAACCCCGTCTCAAAAAAACAAAACAAACAAACTATAAAAACAAAAAGTACATGGTTGGTTAAAAACTGCAACCATGCCAACAGAAGTGCAATCAAAAAAAAGCCTCCCAGAGTTGATCTG